CTTGTGACCACGCTGTGTATATATATATATATTGTTTGGAGACTTTTAATATTTAGAATTTAATTTTTGCAAATATTTTTCGACTCACCTGTTATTTATTTAAAACGTGAAATAATAATATTAGGAATTAGTCTTAAGTCTTGAATTTAAGATATCTCACTTGGTTAGTTTGAAGTGCATTTTGTCTCTCTTTTTACATAAAATTGTCTTATGGCTTATATCTTTTTTTATGTTTGTTTAAAAATGTAACTTTTTATTAGTGAAATTTAACATTTTAAGCTTAAATTATAGTATCGCTTCATATTTTAAAATGCCCCCCAGTGGTACAGCGGTATGTCTGCTGGCTTACAACGCTAGAATCCTGGTTTCGATACCCGTAGTGGGCAGAGCACAGATAGCCCATTGTGTAGCTTTATGCTTAATTACAAACAAACATATTTTCAAAATAACCTTGCGGTTCGGTGGTTCTGTTTAGCAATAAAGAACGACGAATTCTTCCAGTGTAAAGAGTAAGTTATGAAATGTTATTACAGTATTCATTATTACCTCACCAAAATTTTGTATAAAGTTTACGAGCTCAATATTTATATACTTAAAACATGGTATGCACTGTGCGATGGTCTGAGTGAATTTGTATTAAGAGGTAGTACCAAAGTAGAGGAGGTAGAGGTGCTTTTTGTTACCCGCTTTAAACACCCAGCTCTTAATGTCTATCCACAGTGTTTCACGTGACTAATTAATTGAAGGTCATTGGTCGCAGAAGTGTCTTACGGACCGAAAGTGAAAAGTCACAGGTCAAAGTAGGAAGTTTGTATAATTCAAAAACGGTTCTTCCTATCAGCGTAAAAACTTCTGCTAAGTTTATGCATTATTGCAATAGTGGCGGTCATTTTTTTATTGCATTCCTCCATGGAGAGTGCTAGCGCACTCCTTGAGATATATAAGACGTTTGTGTGCTCTTTACCCACACTTTGTTTATGTTGTGTTATAGAAAAAATGTAATAATGTTTTTGTGTAAGGACGTGACTCCTTTTATGAATGTATTTAACATTAACTTATGTCAAAAATAATAAATGCTCAATAACAACAATAATGGAAGGCAGAGGGGGTTTTACCCCCATTAACATGCCCCTTATTTCAAACAATCATCACGCAAAGTTTGGTTGAGATTAGCCCAGTGACCTAGGAGTAGTTAGATAACGGACAAACAGACAGACACACAGATTTTTGTGCTTTATATATATATATCACGAAGAACTGTGTATTTATCATTCAAACAAAGATATAGATCGATCTTCGTTATAATAAAAAGAAATTACTAAACAATAATAAAATACACCAACTACCTTCTATTTTCAAACTTTCTTTAGCTATTCATCGATACAATGTCTCTATAATCTCTCAGAGGACTGGGCATGGATAATTTAACAAAGACAAGCTGTATAAAAAGGAAAAATAACTTAACAAGGAGGATTAACTTCTCAATTTTCGTTACTTTGTTTACATAAGGTGTTTGAGTTACAATTATTAACATATGCGTCTAAAACTAAAATCAAACTAGCAATTATATGGCCTCTATATAAAAAAATAAGTTGATTTATGAGTCTTAGCTGTGATAAGTCAAGAATAATTTTAAAGAATAATAATGAAGAAGATATATTAATTTCCCTGCATTATGAAATACATCGAGGTTAGTAACCGCACTACAGTGCAGAGCAGAAAATGTTCTCTAAATATTTAAAAAGTTTTCAAAATTGATAACACACATGTTTATAACAAAAACTTTATTGAATGAATAGAGTTGTTTAAACATTTGTTTAACAACAAGCTGCCCAGTGTGGGCTAATAATACGAAGAATTAAATTGTGGCGGAATGCTACAAGTTCTTCAAATACCTATAGAATGATAGGTTTCTTTTATGTGAGTGTAAAACACTTGAATATACCAGTTCGAAAAACTTTATTATTAACTGCAATGTTTCGAGTTGAAGCCCTTCGGAGCCCGCATGGCCAGGTGGTCAGAGCGCTCGACTCGCAATCTGATAGTCGCGGGCTCGCCCTTTCAGCCGTGGGGGCATTATAATGTGACGGTCAATCCCACTATTAGTAGGTAAAAAGAGTAGCCCAAGAGTTGGCGGTGGATGGTGATTACTAGTTTCCTTCCCTCTAGTCTTTAACTCCTAAATTAGGGACAGCTATCACAGATAGCCCTCGTGTATCTTTGCGCAAAATTCAAAACAAACAAACAAGAAGCCTTTCGTCAAGCAGTTTAGAATATATTCTAACCTTTCAACGGCTCTGTCTGAGACTTTTTTCTACAGTGGATTATGGTTCTTATATCTTTTTTATGTTTGCTTAGTTTTCTACATCTTGCGGTCTTTTCTACTGTGTGTGTGTGTGTTTTTTTTCTAAATATTTTATACTAGTCTGTTTCTTCTTAATATATATATTTTAACAATGCTATCTGTTCCCCTTATGGTGTATTGTTCTGGCTAAACATTATTTTGCATACTAGATAATTTTGTTTCATTGGCACTTGTGCATTATATAATCATTTTAGATCAAAATATGTCCCCTGGTGGGTCAGCGGTAAGTTTCCGGCCTTAAAATGCTAAAACCTGTTGTTTGATTCCATGTGGTGGAAAAAGCACAGATCGTCAATTGTTTAGCTTTCGGCTAAAATACAACAACCGGATCCAAGTGTTATAGGTGAATTGCATTTTTTATTCTTTTTTAGCTACAAAAGGAACTCTTAAGATTTATTCCATTTTTTCCATATTGTGAATAAACGATGAAAACGGAAAAACGTTTCTTTATTTCCTGAACAAGTGTTATTTCATAATTGAATCAACACATGCACCTTCTAAACCTTGCCTTGCAGGTAAAGTAAACTGATCTATCGGCACATTAAGTTTACCCTTTTACAGGCATAGTTTGTTTTGTTTATCAACAAATCTACATGTAATGTATGATGTACAAGCAAGACACAAACAAACACAAGCTGAAATCAGCGTTCCGTATCTCCTGAGCAATGCTAAGTGATTCGAGATAACTTATAATAACCGAAAATGTAATTGTATTTCAGTTACAAATGATTGGATACAACTCTGACCTATACCCCAATATGACTGAAGCTGTACGATTACACAAGAACCAAGGACTAGTAGGCGTGTCTGTCATGCTACAGGTAAGGAGTTTCTATCATTTCATTAAACTAGTGTAAGCTAATTTCAGTATCATTAAACTAGTGTAAGCTAATTTCAGTATCATTAAACTAGTGTAAGCTAACTTCAGTATCATTAAACTAGTGTAAGCTAGCTTTAGTATCATTAAACTAGTGTAAGCTAACTTCAGTATCATTAAACTAGTGTAAGCTAACTTCAGTATCGTTAAACTAGTGTAAGCTAACTTTAGTATCATTAAACTAGTGTAAGCACTAGTTTAACGATACTGAAGTTAGCTTACACTAGTTTAATGATACTGAAGTTAGCTTACACTAGTTTAACGATACTGAAGTTAGCTTACACTAGTTTAACGATACTGAAGTTAACTTACACTAGTTTAATGATACTAAAGCTAGCTTACACTAGTTTAACGATACTAAAGTTAGTAAGCTAACTTCAGTTTCTCAATGACTGTATTTTTATCGAGAACTCTAAAAAAATGTGCTGTCTGGCAGTACTAGATATTTTTTGTTTATGTTTCTCTATCGAAAACGTCGAGTTCATTCTAATGAAAGTGGTCATCGCACAGAAATAGCTTAAAACTGGTCTTGAATATATTTTTCGTTTTTAATAGACTGGTCCAAAACTCTACTGTGTCTATACTACCTATACCCTACTTGAAAACAAGTTTTGAATATTGTTGAATAGTATAATTTGTTTTCGGTTCTAAGTCGATGCGGTTAGAGACGACTTATCATTTCTTCACTAGAAACTTTTGAAATGGTTCTCTATGAAACTTTCAAACTGTAAAAGTACCAGATAGAAGTGAAACACTTATAATAGACATTAACATCTATTTATTGTGATGTTTAGTAGATAACATTTTTACTACTTGTATCGTGTTAAGTTTATATTTAGTTTGATTATATTATTAAAATAAAACACTTTTTTTTCAAAAGTGATTAGTTAAAGTTTGTGATTCTATCAAATAGAAAGTCTTCTTTAGCACAGACTAGTTAAAGAAATTAGTGTAATTTAAATCATGGACTCTAAACATTTAATACTTAGTCATTATTTGTCTATAGGACACAGAGAATAGTCATTTAATAGAAATATTAAAAGATAGAAAACTGTTAAGAGTTTAGATTACCGAGTGCTGTTTGATCTTAGTCTTTTGATTACTAAGTATGTTGTCTTTAAGGTCTCGGAGGTCCGGTATGGCCAGGTGGTTAGGGCGCTTGACTCGCAATATGAGGGTCGCGGGTTCGAATCCCCATCACACCAAACGTGCTCGTCCTTTCAGCCGTGGGAGGCGTTATTATGTTACGGTCAATCACACTATTCGTTGGTAAAAGAGTAGCCGAAGAGTTGGTGGTGGGTGGTGATGACTAGTTGCCTTCCCTCTAGTCTTACACTGCTAAATTAGAGACGGCTAGCGCAAATAGCCCTCGTGTAACTTTGTGCGAAATTCAAAACAAACAAACTTTAAGGTCTCGGAAATACCTCAAAGGTACGTCAGAATTAATTGTTTGTTCGTTGAATGTCTCGTAAAGTTACTAGAACGCTATATGCATTAACCATCCCTAATTTTGCAATGGTAGATTAGATGGAAAGCAGCTAGTCAACTCTTGAGATACCTTTTACCAATGAATAGTGGAATTGACTATTGCATCATAACACCCCCACCTAAAAGGGCGAGCATGTTCGGGGACGGGTTTCGGATCCGCAGATTACGAGTTGAGCGTCCTAACCATCATACCATTCGAATTCTTATGTCAACTAAATTCTCTACTACTTTTTTTTAATGCATGGCTTGAAAATTGCTGTATTCTTTCGTCTGCAATATGATTAAGGTATTGCCTCATATATCTATAACTAGTAATCAAAATGTAATTCTGACGGTCATGTTAAAATATAAAGGTCTAAACTTAGTAATTAGTTCAATAAACTCCAGTTTTGGTGACAGCATCCACATACTTACGTAGGATACGACTTGAACAGAATATTAATTTTCAGACTACTATTGCACAAAGAAAGCTTATGGACCTATATAATTGTTTTCACACAAGCTATCATCGTCCATACACAAACCTTTTTTTTTTCTATTTCAGACATTTTTGAACCAGTAAATCAATTGTAACTGCCGTTTGGCTCGGGAAAGAAAATTCGATTTTGTTGTATTTGGTGCTTGGTCAGTCATGTTCAGCCGTCTTTCTATTTTTTCTTTATATTTCTAAATCATCACCAGAAAAAGCACGAAAAATTACTTCCAACAAATATTTAATACCAGAAAGATTTTATCGAAAAGGCTAAAATGAGGTACGTAAGATGTATTATTAAACTATGCAAAGACCATTGCATATCATTTAAGATCTTGTTTCCCTTTATAGAACTCGAAAATAATGGTTCAACTTACATTCCTGGCATAAGATTGGAATATTAGTAATAATCAATTAAGTCAAGATTGGTTTGGTTTGTTATGAATTTCGCGCAAAGCTACACGAGGGGCTATCTGCTCTAGCCAACCCTGATTTAGCAATGTAAGACTAGAGGGAAGGCAGCTAGTCATTACCACCTACCGCCAACTCTTGGGCTACTCTTTTACCAACAAATAGTGGGATTGAACGTCACATTATAACGCCCCCACGGCTGAAAGTGCGAGCATGTTTGGTGGGACGGAGATTCGAACCCGCGACCCTCAGATTGCGAGTCGAGCGCCCTAACCACCTGGCCATGCCGGGCTTTTAAGTCAAGAAATACTCAATGAAATTATTTTGTATCTTTTGAAAGATATTTGTTTTGTAATATTAAAAAACAACCTAAAAATGTAGTCAGTACAGATCATTAGTTTATGCATAAATGCTATCAGAATGCCAAGAAAAGTACATTGTTATGGTGATTTATCCCTACAAACCAACCTCTTTATAATTCAGCGTGCATACTTTTAGTTTATACAGGAATGTTGTATTTATGTATACACATTCTTAATAGTTTAGTCACTGAATAGCACAATTACTGAAGAACTGTCCTTTTGTATGCTAGTGTGAAGTTGCATGGGGCTCTTCTAATTTCATTTAGCTCTTAAATCTACTTCTCAGTACAAAGTACCTTCTGTTGATTGTTAATTGTATTAGGCAGCAGGAATAGCACATAGTAAATATGCAGTTTCCTAACTAATGCATAAAAGTTGGGTATAGCAAGCCTCTATACTACTATATTTCCTCATCCATCAAGGACAAGGACTCAGTCATAATGCATGAATCAACTTGATTATATGTGTTTCATAAGAAATGTTTATTCTATTCTGTATTTAATGCTAGTTTAATTAACATTATTTATTAAATTGTTTAATATATATAATATATTTATCAATTATTTTATTATTTCTCATTACACATTTTTATTATGAATGCTATTTTGCACTGTCAGTTTAGTATATCGATTTAATTTTGACCCAAATCTCCTAAGCCGGCTTAATCTTATGAGATATTATTGGGATTACGACCGAAAATATCGCCAACACTTAGGACAACCAGTTGATGAATCAATGCATTCTAATCAATATAAGTAAGAACGTTATACTGAAATAGCCATATTCATTACTGGGTTAAGTTTTAGTTATGATCTATAAGTAGCTAGCTATTATCAGAAGTTAATATTAATAATCACAGCATCAAAATTTTAGTCATAATACAAACATTCTATAAAAGTTGGTGAGTAGAATATAAAATGTAGCTAGTATCTTTAAGATGCTTTCAATACTAACATGCTAATTACGATTCATGCCAAAATCGTAATTGAATAATACAATATTTTCTTCGAGAAAGTTGGTTTTCTAGACTGTAGAGTGGACAAAGGCACACTCTGTATATTTCTATCTTAGTGGTGAATTGCACCTTAGATATTTCGCATTGTATTAGGTCGTCAAGAAATTAATGTCGCTTTTTTTTAGATGAAAAACACTTACAACTTATACATCAAAACAAAACGTTTATTTAATGACATAGTCTCCATTCTTATCGATTATGCTTTTCTATCTTACAATCAGGTTGTTAATTCTCTGATTAAATTAAATCACTTGGCTTTGAAGCAAAAAGCATGTCGATGTCTTCTTTAACACTTTCCACATATGCACACGTTTTCCCATTTAAGATGGTAGTTGTAGCGAACGAAAAAGATGATGTAATCTG